ACTTACTTAAACAACCTGATATGATAAATTCTACCATATTTCTACTAAAATGAAATATTAGATATCGTCAAAAGTTATCACTAAATATTTAAAGATATTTTTTTATTATTTTACTTAAAAGTTCTTTATTTATTTTTTTAAGAAACAAAAAATAACTAGTATATAGGTTTTCCAGTAAAGGTTATTGTAATTAGTTCCCATTTAAATGTGTTTTCTTTCTTTCATATAGGGGAAAGGCGCCAATGATGGCATAGCGCCCATGATGGCATACTAGTCATATTTCCATAAAAATTGATTTTGGTGAAAAAGTGATTAGACCTACATGACTATACTGACTATATTTTAGTTTTAGTGATAATGCGTTCCTTGTGCACAAATATTGTTTTTATAATCAACAGATATCGATTTTGGGATGTGCTGTTGTAGTTTTATTCCCTTCGTATATTTAAGATTGTGATTTTATTATTAACTGTGCAGAAAGGGAATTTTCATGCATTTTATATTCAAGTTTTGTACGTTTAGTACTTACTTTAGTTTTATCTTTTGAACGAGGCAGACGCAGCTTGTTTTAATGAAAATGATGACTTCTTCCCATGATTCCATACTGGCGAGTTGGGGGTGTTGCAATATTGAAGAGTTGAAAAAACCTTTTTTTTTATAAGAAAAACTTATTTTTAAGTAAAGTAAAAAGAAACCGATGCTCCAAAAGTAATTTTTTTGGTCCAAAAAATACATAAAATGCAATTTATCCTATGCGCATGCCCAAAACTTTACAATGCTGTTTCGCAGCATGAAATGGTAAATTAGGATGGTTCCGAGTAATTTCTGGCTTTTCTGAAGGAACTCTAAGTTTAAGTCAAATCATCAAGTTACCCTTGATCCTAACAAGCCCCATCCACCTCTATGCCATCATAGGAGAAGTGGTTGCCTATGATGGCATATTTGTGCTTTTTTTTAAAATAAGAATAACTTATAAAAAAAACAAAACTGATGAAACCTCTGAAGATTATTATTGTTCTACATGTAACAAGGAATGTATCTATACCAAAACTTTTATTATTGGTCTTGAGGATACTGAATAATGAAGCTTCAAAGTTAAGTATGCCATCATAGGCGCCTTTCCCCTACTTTTCACGTAAAAAGTTTTTTGATATTTGTAAAAAAAAAAGTATTTTCATCTTTGTAACATATTTTTCAAATTGTTAGGGGAGTTGGGGCTCATTAATACATTTTATATAAATATATATATATATATATATATATATATATATATATATATATATATATATATATATATATATATATATATATATATATATATATATATATATATATATATATATATATATATATATATTCTCTCTGTTTACTGAAAACTGGACAAAATTAATTGAATCAGGTTTTGTTGGGCAGACCATAGTCCTACATAAATTTTTCAAACAATCAATTTTACAAGTGGCTGCATAAAATATTGTTCTTTTTAATATAAAAATCATTTTTTGTTAAGAAAGTGTTTATGTAGCTCATCTCTAAGTTCTGCCGAATTTCATTTTTAGTTTGAGTTATTTGAATAAATTCAAAACACAAAACTTCCATTACATCTTTTTCGTTTTTTAATTTATTCGGTACAATACTCACTAATAATGGCGTATTTCCATTGTTTTTAATGTTAACAAATGTAAAATGTAAAAAAAACCGGAAAGCAAACAACACCAGTGTACTATTTTTTTAATAGTCTAAGCTTATATTTATTTTTTATATTCTTTTTTTTAATCTAAATGTCTTCTTTTTTTAAATATTTATTTGATATAAATACTACAAGATTGAAATAAAAACAATATTTTACAACTTGAGATATAGTAAGAATATATCAAGATAATAATGTAAATAATGTATAGGAAACTTTACCATACATAAACAAATTTATTTTGTAATTCAATAAACTTCCAATGCAATTAAAATTTGAATGATGTACTTAAAATGCTAAGTATGACTGATATTATTCTTATCATATGGTTTCTTTTTAACAAACCTTATTTGTTAACCTGCTCTTACCTACTAAATTAAAAACACGGAAAAGTTAAAATAGTTAGGGAAATTAGATAAGATGAATTTTATAATGTCATATATTTATTTTCTGTTTATGCTAACACATTAAAAATGCGTTGTTATAAATAACTTATTAATATAATCTGAAATAGAAATTGTTAATATATAAAACAATATTAATACAGAAAACTAGTTTATTGATATTTTAGAACTAATTTGCTGAATTAAAAAAAATAAAATTACTCTTAAAAAAGTTCCTAAAAAATAGTATATTAAGTGATTAAAAAATATATAAAGAGAATATAAAAGATTACTTCAAATTGTAAAGATTGTAGGAGGAGGGAAATGGTCAATAGATTGGATGTGGCAATAGAGGCTGTTTTTTATATTATCTTTGGATTCGGATGCAATCATCATATTTTAGAAATAGTTATTTTGGAAAATTTTATTTCAAAAAAAGACAACAACTGATACTTTATAGATTTTAAAACTATTAAATTCGAGCAGCCAAGGCGGATTGGTAGCGCGCTTGCCTCGGATGCAAGGGTTCCGTGGTTAAAACCCACCTTTAGGCAAGTTTTGCAACATCAAATATGAAGGAGGCATGAAATTCATGTAAAATGCTCTTCTTCAGTGCTCTCTGATAAGACCGTACAGTCTGACTTATCTTAGCTACGTATTATCTTATTGGCTTTACCACGGTCTTATCTTATCACAGTCGATACGGTCTTAGGGGCACCTGAAATGAAAATTAAAAAAAAAATCGCTTGCAGAGGTACCCTGATATAAAAAATCATTTTTAAAAAACAAACAAAAACATTGTAACTAACATTGCAGCTAAAAACCATGTTTTTATCTGATTACCTTTAAATATTTATAAAAAATACACTATTATATTAATTAAAAACAAACATATAACAGATTATAATAATATTTTCCGATCGTCAGGGCAAGGCTTCGGAAAACAAAATTTTTAAAGTGGTTGAAAATCACAAAAAAAATTAATTAGAAGCAATTGTTTACTGATTTACCACAATGCGACTTTCATGTTTGGGGCAGGGGGAGGACAAAATTTTGACTCTTTTTTGTTCCCAAGCTCCAACCATCGCATTTTTTTGCAAGCTATTCTTATTTGACATTAGTATAAACATATAAATGTTGGATTTTGCCTCATATCTGGAAGTTAGCTATCATAAAAACTAAAAAATGCTGGTGGCGCCCCTGGCCTTCTGTACCCCTCTCTCATAGGGCCTTTAGATTTCGAATATAAACTGTTAAACTAATTTAATTTATCAAAAGCATTTTTAAATCAAATTTTGATAAATCCCTTTTTTCCTTTTAAATTTAACATAAAACACTAAATAAAATAAATTATCTATACTCATTTTAATAAAAAGTATTGGAAAATTGGTAAATTAGTTCTCAAAATAGACGTTGTTAAGCTTTTGTTTGTTCTCCAAGCAATAACTTCTTTATTTAATTAAGTAATTATTGACTTTGAATAGTAATGCAATCGATTTAACTTTTAAAAGATTGGATTAAACTTTTTTATTTAAATAAACCTAGCGTTATTTAATAGTTGTTGGACAATCTACTTATCAAAAATTTACTTAATATATCGGTTTGTGTTGTTTCAACGTAATATTTTATATAATTTCATTAGCTTTGTAAAAACGTGTTTCAAGATATTGACGTATTTTTCTGTTGCTGATTTTATACTTACATATTCTTAATAAATACTCACAAAGCACACGTTAATTAACAAACATTCAATAATAATAAATTTAATAATAATAATAATAATAATAATAATAATAATAATGATGATAGCAATAATAATAATAGCAATAATAGCAATAATAATAATAGCAATAATAATAATAATAAAAATATTTGCATAATATTAAAACAGAGCTTTTTTTTTCTAAAAGAAAAAGTATTTGATTTTTATGTTTCAATATTCCAATCTTATAGCATACTTCAAACTTATAGCATACTTTAAACATAACAATTAACATTACTGGATGAAACTTTCTAAAACAAATGATGTGTTTTTCTAACGTCATAGAGGCTCTTTTTGAACATAAGAGACTTTTAAAATAAGAGACTTCGAACTGTAGTGTAATACAGTATAGCAAATCGCAGACATAAACTGAGATATTTTTAATATCCTTTTGAAGTGCTTTATAAAATAAAAACAATAAAATACAAGTTTTAATTGTAGATTATATTCAATTTAGAAATACGACACCTTTGATTACCAAACCGACTCTATCGTAACCATTTAAGTCTGTTTAAAGACTTAAATGGCTACGATAGAGTAACTGTTTAAAGTTAGCTTTTTAAAATTTTGGTATGAATTTTAAATTTTGTTCTATAAATGTCATACGGTCGATATATTTTTAAAAAATAACACTAGTCTTTGTAAAAAATATCGACTATTGGCTAAAAAATCATTAACATATTAAAAGTTTTATAAGGTTTACGTCACAATGAAAAAAAATTTGTTTTACTCAATGTTAACGTGAAATGACAAAATTAGTAATATTTAAAGTATTTTGTAAAAATTTACACAATTACATTACAATTACAAAAACACGTAACACGTTAATTATGTCATATTTAAAAATATTTAAATGAAAATTATAAAACCTCAAATACAACTTGACCGCCATGCTTATTAATCTAATCATTTTGAAATTAAAAGAAATTTTGTTATACAATTTTTTTTTATTGTTTATAAAGTAATTTTCTTTATCTTATAAAATGAATCTTTAAAAGTTTTGGTTTTATAACGATTAAAACAGCTGGCGATTTTTAATCAAATGATAATTGTCAGTTAAAAGGTCAGTATTTTGAAATCTGCTACTTTTAATTCCAAGTCCTCCTGTAATTTTAAAGAAAATAATAAAACTTTATATAAAAAATTTACAGAATAAGTTGTTTAAGTTTGTCTTGACTGTTTTATAAAAGTCAATATTTTGTTTAAACGGGAACACCAAAGTTTTGTTAATAATGGAATCCTTAGTAAATAATGAAAAAGTAACAATATTTCCGATGCTAGCGTGGCATTTTTACAAATTAGGTTTAGATTAATTTTGGAGCTTTTTTTTTACAAGGTAAGTTGAGATAGTTGTGGAGCTTTTGTTTTTCCACAAATCTATGATATTTTTTATATATATAACAAAAAAAAAAAAACTTTTTTATTATTTAAAAAATAAACCTTAATAGTTTAAAAACATATCTTGAAACATAAATTAATTTATACACGAAAAGTTATTTTTTTGTTAAAACATATCAAACGTTTTGGAAACGCTTTTGATCTTGGGTTCATTTATGCTCTTAAGCTTTGAAAAGATTTTTTTATTGCTTTTCTTTAAGACTTCTTTAAGTTATAAGAAATATATACATATGTAAATATTAGATTTGGTAACGAAACCAAATCAATCTTCAAAACCTAGGGCTATTACTTGCCATTTTTTAAAAGTCGAGGTTACTTTTAAACATGAAACTTTTGCGCATTCAAACTTTTGTTTAATAGTGATGTAAATTTTCTAGTAAAATTTGATTCAAAATTTACCGGTAAATTTTAATTAGAGAACGGTAAATTTTCCTTTAAAAAATTAAAAAAAAAAAAAAAATGTAAAAAAAATTTTTAAAATTTACCAGGCGGTAAATTTTCAAAATTTACCGGTAAATTTCACTATTGTTTAATAATGCGTTGCGTTACAAAAAATTGATTGTAGCTTTGGTATAACAAAAAAAATTTTTTTTTTAGAAACAACAAAACGTCTAAATTTTTTATTTTTACCATTCTCATTCTACATTTGCATTTTAAAACGGTCCAAAAGAAGACAAAAGAGCAAAAAAGAAAAACAAAACAAAACAAGGTTTTTTGTTTATTTTGTAAAAATGGTGCAATACAATCAAGGCCGGTGCAAAGGGGGAGGAGTGTGTGACATTTCCCATCAATTAACTTTTTGTTCATTTAGTCGGCAAATTTGACCCTTTTAGACAAATCAGTCGGCAAATTTAAAAAAAAACCAAGACCTTGTTGTTTTTGTTTTGTTTTTTTTGTTTTTTTATATTTTAGTCTGCTAAAATGGTAATGGAGAAGACGCAAATGCTAAACAATTACTATCTAAATTTATATTCATCAGAAAATTTTAAATTGCATCCAATAATATTTTAGAATTGAAAACTTATGAGCAAGTAAGTTTTTAACCTCCTTAAGTAGGTTTTAGACCTGCCAGCAAAATTGTAGTATCATTTTAATATTATCCTTAGTTTTAAAAATGCAAGCGTCAAAAATATTATAACCTTCCAAATAAACATTATCTAAAAAAATGCTAACAGATAAATGCTCAATAACATAGAATAAAAAAAAACTTATTTAAAAAAAAAAAAAAAAGGTTTATTTACCTTATTTTGTATGTATAAACTTAAAATAATACAATGTATTTGTAAAGTAATATAAATATATTACGTACACACAAACCTTTATATAATTTTAGATTAAGCAGACATAAAAAAATATGTTCAAAGTTATGTCAATGAATTGTAGAATTTCAACACCGTGTATATATTACAGACGGCAGGATCTAAAAAAACAGTAATTGCTCAAACAAAGGTATTAATCCTTCAGAGCTCCAAGACAAACGTTTGTGTTTAAAAAAGTTGTGCGAAAGAATTTTATTTCATTATCTAGTTTTAAAGTTAAAACTTTGCTTGGAAGCAATTTAGGATGGATAAGAAATAATGCGAAATTAATGCGTTGATAAACACCATCGTTTATTTAAAGTTTCACAAAGATAATGTTTCAATCTTTAAACCGTTCATAACCCAACTTCTATTTACTAAATATTTACTAATTCAAGACAATTTTTAGAAATTTAATTGATAGATGGCTAGTTTTTATAGTAAATTAATAATTAAAAAAAATGAATCTAAACCTGTATAAACCAAGTTGATAAAGGAATGGGTAACAGCCTCTTATAAGTTTGATATTTATGCAGAAACAAGTTTTCACCCGTAAATACAACAACTGCAAATATTTTTTAATCTAACAACATTTCTTTGTTTGTGACGTTCTAAAACCTATGGCTTTTTTTTCTTATCCAATGATTTTTGCTAGCCTATGATTGGTCGCCTTTTTGAAAACTTTTTTTTAATACAATGTTTGTTACAAACAATGAGAAATTTTACTTTACTGGAAATAGGCCAAATTAAATATGCATTTAAGTAAATTTTACCCTTATATCTTTGCGATTTATATTTTAAGGTATCCCTCTTTAATTTAAGATACTCTTGATTATATTTATTTAGTATTTATTAATTTTTTTTGTTCAATACATAAAATATTTTTTTCGTATTCTCAACTAAATCTATCTATTTATCGATAAACTTTTAATATTCATACAATAATCTCTAAGCGTTCAAAAATTATGACCTTATAAAGTTTCAACACCCCTCCAATTTGAGAGGGTTACAAATTTTTAAAGGCCATAATTGTTGAACGCTAAGTGATTATTTCACAAAATCAAAAATTTATTGATAAATATAAATTTAGTTAAGAATAGTAAAAAAAACATTATACGAACTTGTTGCTCTCACGTTTTGGGTAGGTGTAGGTAACATTTAAGAGATTTATTGTTCCCAGGCTCCAACCAGCGAAATTTTTTTCAAAGCATCCTTATTTAATATAAGTAATTCAAGGTTCGAAAAGAATTCTGGGCATATTTCGAACCATCGGTAAAGAAGAAGAACTTCTTAGTTAAATGTCCTTTCGCGGTGGTCTGTGATAAGACCGTTTGGTCTCCTTGGGGCACTTAAAAGTTTAAAAAATATATACATACAAATATATAAATATTTGTAGTTTTCTCCATGTTTGGAAGTTAGCTAAAACATCGAAAAATGCTGCCTCGGCCCCCTCCAACCTTTATTAACAAGTTTCAATTAAATAAAAGATGTATTAGAGAAATTGAATTAGCATATAAAACATCCAAGTCTAAATATACAAACAAAAGAATCTTATAATTAGAGTATAATTATCAAAATCTTTAACTTATGCTTATTCGCAATTTACAAAAAAATAATGTTTATTCGTAAAAAAAATCTTTGTTTACTTTATTTTTATTTTCAATGTAAACTATGTCGTGTAACTGGTATTAGTTATTTTCAATGTAAACTATGTCGTGTATCTGGTATTAGTTATTTTCAATGTAAACTATATCGTGTATCTGGTATTAGTTATTTTCAATGTAAACTATATCGTGTATCTGGTATTAGTTATTTTTGGAAAACTATTATACAACTTTTTTTTAAGTGCTTACCATGAACACCAAGCCAACGAGTAAAGATCTTTATTTCAATGAACTCAAGAGTGAGAATGATCAATTCGGAAATATTGTCTTTTATATAGAACCGACTCAATCTCAATTGAAAAAAGAAGAGTCTTCAATTTTTTTATTGCAGTCTCGACAATGGGAATTACTTCATATAAATGAAGACAAAATGCCTAAAACAAGTTTTAAGCCACCGCGTTGTAAGCGAGTTTTTGTTCGAAGGAAAAAAAGTTTACCAGCAGAAGTGGAAGAAACATTATACAACGTTGAAGATAACTTAGTTTTTTGCGGAAACATATTTGTATACGACATTATATGGACGTCAGAAAATTTAAAGGAAAAATATTTAGAAGTTTTCAGTGAGAAGCTTGTACGGAACTTTCAAAAACCAAATACTTCATATGTGCCCATATATAAAAATGATGATTTCGATAAAACTTACCAATCAGATTATGACTGCAGCTTTAACCAAAGTTTAGAATATACAGTTGGGGTTATTGCTAAACTCACTTATAAGGTTGAAAAAATATTACTTATTTCCGAGCACTTATATGAAATCAATCAATATAACTTCAATGATGTATACTTAAAATTGGCCTACGAACCGGTTGTTATTTGCACAGACTATTACACAAGTGTTCAAGGTCTAACTACTTCTCATTTCCAGGTATCTGAAAAATTAGGTAAGTCTTGCGAACATCATATCCTACAAGTAACAACACGCAGAGGATCTTATTCGGACCTTTCGTTGTCACTTTCGGAGATAAGCTTAATCAAAACATTATATCGAAAAAGTATGTTGCTCGCTAAAGAAAGATACAGTGACTTACCCGATGATGTTTTAGTTATAGATTGTCTAGATGAAATAGATAACAGTAATGCATCCTTTGAAAAATCAGTTAACGTTCCAACGTCAGCTGTAAACAGTTTTGATGACGATTTCGAAGATATTGTTTGGAACGAAGGTTTATCCGTCTTCAATGAAAAAAATAATAACAAACATGCACAAATAAATAAAGAAGATCAAGATATGAAAGCAAAAGAAGCAAAAAACAGCAAAACTATTGATAACAACATGAAAAGTAAAGATAAAAAAACTCAAAAAGTTTGTTAATAGCTTGATTGAAAAATCTGAAAGTTTTAAGCATTTCAACTTTGAAGAAAACGTTTTAAGCTTTAATACTACACAGAAAAATGAACAACTTCACGAAAGCGAAAGTGCACACATGATTACGCATTTCAAACCTATACAAGCCCAATCCTGCAACAGTTATCCAACTAGCAAACAAAATAAACCTAATACCCCAATAAAACACATATCAACTAACTTAGTAAGCGAACCAAAAATTGTTCCTCTTTGTAATATCAAAATACTTTTAAATGCAGACATGTCTGATGTGAATTCTTTAACCGCTTTTAATAATTTAGCTGTAAAAAATATACCTGAAAATGGAGATCCTATTTTGAAATCAAAGTTAGTTGATAATAATCATTCGGTCAAGTACAATATAGAGATTTCCTCCGCAAAAGAAGCCTCTAATTTGAAAAGTATCCCAGCAATAACTGAAAGTTTCTCAAAGAAAACATTACCTGAGAATGAGATATTGCCTATTAAAACAAGTTGTATAAATAACGAAGACGAAAAATCTTTAAAACAATTTGTTAACAGTTTGAATAATTTCGAAAGATACCATTTTAAACACGTTAATGTTGAAGAAAGAAGTTCAAACAATATTACTGGTCTAAAAAATGAACTTCCGGAAAAAACAATATGCTACCATAAAATTACAATGTGCAAACCGGTAGAAGCAAAAAGCTGTGTCATTTTTTCCACAAATGAAAAAATTCAAAAAAAAACTAGTCTACCCAATAAAACTTGTAGTTTGGCGTTCGAACCAGTTGTTGTTCTTTGTAACAAAAATGAGCTTCAAGAAGTTTTACCGTCAATCATATTTGATTTTGATAATTTATCAGTAAAAAATAAACTCTCTGAAAACGAAAAGAGTCATTCTCCGTCGTTTTCAAATAATGAAAGCGTTTTTAAAAATACTACAAATAATGAAGATACTTATATAAGTCAAATAAGTCATGTTCAGGATCCTCATATTATAAACTTCAGTACAGAAAAAAATGTTTGTGATTCTCCTGGTAATAAAAACGACGAAACAGATTTTTCGATGTTTATATCTGATATCAGTATTCTTAAAAACAAAACCTACCCAAGAGAAATCAATACTTTTGACGTGTTTTTAGAAAGTAATTCTGAATATGCAATTAATCGTAACAATCTGAAAAATTTTAAAAAAGATGGAAATTGGAAAATAGAAGGTTGGAATGAAAATAAAACTTCGGAAATCATTGTAAAAAATGTAAAAGGATATTGCGCTAATAATTCTTTAAATGTTACTAGTACTCCAACATTTTATACGAAAAAAACTTTAGTGAAGAAAGAATCATCGATAACTTTAATAGAAGATCTTAAAATATTACCTGTGAATACAGAAACTGAGGCAAAAATGAAGGCTAATGTAGACGAAGCACTAACAGGAAAAAGAAATGAACCAACTTTTAAAAAAACTTATTCCAATAAAAAATTTGTCAGTGAAGACATTAACTTTAAAGTTAACAAGAAAATGGAAGTAGACATTAAAAACCTGGAACTATTAGATGAAAATAAAGATTTTTGTACTTCACATTCAAAAAACTCTAAAAATAAAAATGAAAATATATTTGACAATGAAATTTTGCAACTAACAGATCAAAAACTTTTTTTAAAAGGTTCTGCTGAAAATACGGCATTAAACAACGATAATGGTTCAAAGCATTATATTAATTTGTTAAAAGATAAAAATGTCGGATCACTTAAAGACGCTAATAACTTGCAAAATAGCGAAGAACAAAAAATAGAAGAAAATATGACCAAAATTCTAACAGAATCAAAACTAGCTCTAGAAAAAATAGAAAATGATAAAAAAGAAAATCAATTAACTGAAGACGACATTGCGGATAATACAACAAACTTTCCATTAAAAAGTTTAGAGCATTGCCAAGAAAGCAAAGATTCAGGTGATAGTTTACACAATAATCGATCCATCGCTACAAAAAGAACAAGTCAGCGCAACAGCTATTTTATAAAACTTAAACCACCCTCGGAACCCAACCACCCTTCGGAAGCATGCAATTCAGATGCAATTCAACAGGTTGAAACTGCTCCAAGTGAAATAGTACTCACAAAAAAAAAATCCTTTAAGAATAAAGTGAAAAAAGTATTTTTGAAATTAACAAATTCTTCAAAATATAAAAATAAAGAATTAAACTTTGTAGAAAATAATGAACATGATATTACTTTAGAAAATGGCAATTTATCTTCGCAGCCGTTTCCAATGTCAAAAAATTCATCTAACACAAAAGACAAGAAGTTATATAATAAACGATGTAACAGTTTAGACTCTTTTATAAACGGGGATTCTGATGACTTTTTGTCTAGCTCAGAGGAAATAAATCTGAGAAAAAAAAAACTTGCTCGTCATGCTTCAACGGTTATTAAATCAAAAGATTATTCTCCTGAAGTTGTTGCCAGGGAAACTGAGTTGGAGCTTGAATGCGTCAGAAAACAAAGACGAAAATATCTCTCACAGTCTCAAAATCTTTCTGCTTGGAATTTAGAGCATTATGATTCTTTGCATGCAGAACGAAATATGCAAATCGGAAAGATATCTGTACCAGAAGTGTTTTTAACCAATCAAAAATTTCAATCCCCACGATCAACTTCCGTAGGGAAACTATCAATTCCGCCTGCATTTTCACTAGAGGGTCTTAACCAATTAGGTTCCATTGTTGTAACGGATGAACTAGAATTTTAATTTTTAAAAACATAAAAACGACTACGATAAAACATTCTTCTTATGTGTGTGCGCGAGCGCGTGACTGTATATATTAATTTATTAAACTAATGTCTTAAAATATAAAACATTCTTCTTATGTGCGTGCGCGAGCGCGTGTATATATTAATTTATTAAATTAATGTCTTAAAATATAAAAACATTAAATCTTACTTTTAAATTTTAACAAAAATTATAAAAACTGATGAAATCTTTTGAAATGTTTATAAAGCGTTAAAAGTTATTAGCATTTGACTTAAAGAAAAATATGATTTGCAGTTTTTGGAGGAAAAGCCCTTAAAGTATTTTGCTCATATCTTTTTTTTTTTAAAAAACATCTTCATTTCCAGCAAGGCTGCAAGCAACCACTATTAGAGTTGGAAGTTACAAGGAAGAGAAAAGATAAAGTTTATAAAGACACCAATTAACAGACAACTTAAAGAAATGCAAATTATATGAATTAGTAAAACATGAAAAGAGCGAATTCCCAAGAATTAATGTTCGAGGAAAAAAACTAGACAATTAAAAATTTTTGGACCACTTAAGGTGAGTTTCCACTCATCCGTTTTTCAACGGGAAAAGGAAAGGGAATGGAAAAATAATCACGTAAGCATGCGCAGTTTTCTTTTGGACAAATAAAAACCATTATTACGCATGCTCACGTGATTATTTTTTCCCGTAGTATTTTTTATCGTTCCCGTAGAAAAGCGGATAAGTGGAAACTCACCTTTAGGAATAGCCACAGTAAAAAGAATAATACTTAATTGAGTGACGAGTGACATAAAAATTAATTTTAGGCACAAGAGGTGCTAGCTCTTTAGAGTAACGCCGCTTATATTATTTATAGAAAAGAGAGGCAATATCACGATAATATGACAATGGTTGAAGATTGGCTGAATTAGCAGGTCCAACTATGTTTACAATGCGTTTTTGCACCTTGTCAAAAAGAGAAAGGGCATCATTAGAGATTTATAGAGATAAAGAATAGACAACCTTAGCAGATGCTAATTTTGCAATGGATTTTATTTATGGATTCCAAGAAAGTTTAAAAGTAAAAATTTGTTTTAGAAGGCGGAGGGTAGATGGCATATCGAGTACATTACCATTTATAAAAATAGAAAAGTCTAGATTACTGCAATAACAATTAGCTAAAAAAAATTGAGCTTTATTAGAGTTGAAATTCACTAGCCACTGAGAGCCTCATGCTGTAGCAGAATGAGACCTTTTTCAAGCTTAAATGTCTCCTCCAATCAATCAGAAAGTGTCAGCTTTTTATCAAGACAAGAATAAATGGTAGCATCATCAGCAAACAATTCCACCTTAGATGTAAGAATTTTTGAGAGGTATTTAATGTAAATTTAAAAGAGTTTAGGGCTTAGGATGGAACCTTAGTTCTTATTACTGTAATCAAGAGATGAGATTAATGAATCAGTGGATTCAAGAGATGAGGTATCTAATGCTTCTACAATTGTTTTGTAACTCTTCTACAATTTCTCCGCTGCTCTTCAGCAGTTGTTCTCTCTGTAGATATTGAAGCTACGCTTTTTAAACTTTGATCTTTAGACATGGTAGAACGAAAATATGTATCTATAAGCTTGAGCAATTAAAAACCTCTCTCTCCACTGACAACTGTTATTGCGAGTGTATTCATTGGTATTTTAACGCCATGCAAAAATGTAAAAACATCAGTAAGATGTTGGATGCATAAATCGATTATTAACTGATTGAAATGCACTCTTTATTTCTTGCTTCATTTATTCAGCTTTGATAAAAGTTCTAAAATATAATTTTTTTGCAATTCGAAATTTTAGCATTCTATTTTCTTCATATAGCGTTTTCCAGGTTTTCCATTATTTGCCTTGCCCTTGATGATCAAAGTTGAACATATATTATTATGTTTTCTAACTTATATTATATTGGCTAAACTTTGTACAAGAATGTTGAGAATGTATTAAAACTTCAGTAAAACAGCATGTGTATGTACTAATTATAGATTTTATTATACACTGTACTAATTATAGATTTTAGTCTTATTACATTTACTCGTGCCACGTCACAACTTTATGCCTAATATTTCACATAGGTTTAATATTTTCGTTTTTTATATTTTTATATTAGATATCTAAAGATACACGCAGTTAATTAACGACAGACATTCCATTAGTTAAAAACTAAAACATTTAGAAATTTAGAAATGACAAATTTGCAATAAAACTTAACTCATGTCAAAGTAAAAAATTAGTTCGTTGTTTGCAACTAAAGCAACTTAAGCAAAAGGTTAGCCAGTGTTTAAAAAACAACAAGAAATATTGAATTGTTGTGAAAAAATGAAAAGTTGAAAAATGAAAAGTTGAAAACAACTGAAATATTAAAAATGAATATTAAATCTCTTCTTATGTCAAAGTAAACACCAGTTGTAAAGCAGGTGCGATATGAGTTTAATCCTTACCCTAAAAACAAGTTCCATTAGTTAAAAACTAAAACATTTAGAAATTTAGAAATGACAAATTTGCAATAAAACTTAACTCATGTCAAAGTAAAAATTTAGTTCGTTGTTTGCAACTAAAGCAACTTAAGCAAAAGTTTAGCCAATGTTGAATTGTTGTAAAAAAATGAAAAGTTGAAAAATGAAAAGTTGAAAACAACTGAAATATTAAAAATGAATATTAAATCTCTTCTTATGTCAAAGTAAAAACCAGTTGTAAAACAGGTGCGATATGAGTTTAATTCTTACCCTAAAAACAAGTTAACAGGCTTAGTTGGTAATCATCCATGAAATAAACTTCAAAGACCTGGGAAGTTTTATAAAATGTCAGAGCATATTTCTAATTATGGGGAGCTTGGTTGATTAATAAGATACTAAAGAAAAAGCAGTAGTCTTCTGAAGTTAGTATCTTCCTCTTTTCTCCTTTATATGTGTATTTTTTGCAAGACGACCTATATTAAAAAATACTATAAAATACACTAACTCTATTATTACATTCCTTACTCCATAAATAATTGTATCGTTTATTAAAACTTGCTTTAATTTTCAACAGCATGTAAAGTGCATGTAGTATGACAACAAATATGTTTGTAGTAGGGGAGACCGGGGCAAGATGAAGAATGACTTAAATTTTCAGTTTTTTACTCAGTGGCAGCATTAATCGAACACTACTGGCTCTCCTGTAGGCTATTCGTTAAAATATTATATGTAGACGCTTAAATCGCCATTTTTATATTATTTTAAATGGACTTATTACTAGGGCAAGAAGATGATTTGTTAAAGTTATAAAAAATAAAGTTTGTTTTATTTGAATAAATAAATGTTATTATATTTAATACCAGAAAGAACTACTCTAACATGTTCATGTAAAATTAATTTTACTATACTTGAAAATAAATTAATAAGCAACAAAAGTTGTCAACATCTCGCCCCGGATCTACCCTACTTATCTCTAAAACGTGTTGTATGGCCAAACAATACGTAATTAAACTTTTTTAACTGACCAAAGATGACTTTTTTTTAACTGACTACAGACGATTAGCATGTTATATGTTGTTATTTATATAAACATAGATAGGCATTTATAAAATAGATTTTGTTCAAAAATAAGTAGATTCCAACCGGGTCAAACCGCACACCATTTCATTCCGCACATTAAACAAAATTATCAAATAAAAACTGAAAAAATAAAAATAATTCAGATACAGGATTATTGCAAAATATCAATAATAAAAGCTTCCATAGCTCAGGTACAACAACAGTACTCTCAAATGAAACAGAAAGAATAATGGTGCATGCGTTCCAATCACTTGGTGACTGGGGTTACGGTTTAACCCAAAATGAAATCCTCAAATTTGCGTCTGCTACCTTAAACGCGTAGATCAATTGCACTTATTTAAAAATGACAAGCCTGGCAAAAACTGGTTTTATGTCTTTATGAAGAGACGGTCAAAGGAAATTTCAGCAAGAAAAGCGCACAACTTAGCATCTAAAAGAGCTGCTTTTTGTACGCCAGAAATAATTGATCCTTTTTTGAATGCGTCGCTAAGCAAAATCAACAGATTGGAACAATGGATTGCATATTTGGAATTGTGAAGAAACATGTTTTTTGAATGATCAAAGCAAAGCAACCGTTGTGTGTCGAAAGTGACAAGAATAGTGAGTCGAAATTGGACAAGACGTCCATTTAAACTTACTGGCAACAATGAAAAAATTCATTTTACTGTGACAAATTACTGTAATGCTGATAGGCATTTTCCATCACCATTTGTGATATACAAAGCTAAAAGAAACTTTCGTTCTGACTGGGCAAGAAGTGGTCCAATTGGCACCAAATTTCAAAATCAGGTTGGATGGAGCACGATAAGTTTATTGAATGGTTGAAAGAAATATTTGTACTCGAAACTGAGCAAATTGGTGGCATTCATATTTTATGAACTATTTGCTCACCAGCTTTTTGCTTAGTTTCGGGTACAAATTTTATTGAAGGAGGTGTGAGCTTCCAATTAAATGCTCATCCGCGGTGCTCTGTGTTAAGACCGTAAGGACTTCTTTGGGCACCTAAATAAAATTGAAATAAATAAATAAAAAAGGCATTAGCAATCACACCACGTTTAATCCACCATCATCAACTTTAGCTTCGGCAGCACCTCACCACCTTGCTCAGTCACAACTTCATCATCTTTAACAGCCACCGCAGCACCCAGGGGCGGATACAGGTTGTAAAGATCGGGAGTGCACAAATGGGGTGGGGTTTAAGGGGAGGGGGTAAATGGCAGAGTATAGCTTCATACATGATATCAAAATTGTTAAGAGTTGAATGTTTTTCAGCCCACCGTGTTTCACAGAATAGTTTGAACTTTTGTGTGGTTATTTGGTCCTTTTTCTCTCTGTTACCATTTACTTCCGAAACAGCCTGCTCTAATCTTCTGCTTCGTTTTGGCGAGTATTTAAAAAATATTCCAAGCTCCTTCAGTGTTTCTAACATAATGTGAATTTCTTGCAAGTCACAGCTCTTGCACAATGCTAAATTCAAGTCGTGACTCCAACAATAATGGTACACTGCTTGAGGGGATTGGTGGGTGAAACGTGCTGCCAGGCCTTTGTTCTTCCCAGCCATGTTGCCAGCCCCATCCATTGTCTGGGATTGACAATTTGCAATTTCAAGCCCAGCATCCGAAAGAGCATTGATGACTTTCTGGCATAGAGCTTCTCCAGTGATAGATTCACAGGGCAAAAATTCAAACAAACGTTCAACTGGTTTATGCCCTACAGTATACCTTAGAACAAGTCCCAACTGCTCCCAATTACTGCTGTCAGTAACCTCGTCACATTGTATGCCATATAATGGTCCCATCGGTTGGGTTTTAATTTGTTAACACTTGTTCATACTGTTCTTCATCACATCTAGTGAATATCTGACCTGAGAATGGATTGACATAATTATAAATAAAAAATTAATCAAATTTCAGGGGGGGGGGGGCACGAGCCGGCTGTGCCCCCCTCTAAATCCGCGCCTGGCACCTCCTCCAACTACACACCGATTACCATTTTTCTTAACTACGACAGCTTCAGGTTTTGATAGGTATCAATTAGTGTTGAGCATTACAAAAACAGTATCAAAATGGAGAGTTGAAGCAATTTTTTCAAACTAGAAATCAATGGTATGTTAAGAAATCGAAGCTATTAAAAGTTACAAAATGTAGACTACAATTATACACAGAAATGTTGCAATGTGAGAATTCGATGTGTCGGGAACGTTTGTGCAAAGAAACATGTTTACCATAAAAATTTTTGTGTTTTTGGCAAAACACAAAATGCAAACGAAGAATTAGAGCGTTGCAAAGTGTAATCAAATCTGTTCATTAGGTAACATTTTCCACCCTTATGAATTGACGAGATGTTACGAAAAATTCAAATAAACTTAAATTATAAATACAAAGTATTTAAATCAACTTAAATCCATTCAAGAAACCTCATCACTTATATATAGGATTTTTGTTTATTTTTCAAAACCACTTTTTATCACTGTCATCTAAGTGGATTGTCACTGTCATATGCAGTGAGATAGTACACTAAGTATGTGTTATCCAACGACAACATGGATTTTTTGTTTATGATTCTTTCAAAAAAATATTGCTTTTTCAACTCATTTACACCAAACAATCAAAAACTATAAAGTAAGCACCGCAACAATCAAAATGCACTAAGTAAACAGCGTAAGTAAGCATCTTTCTTAATCGCTTATTATCGATGAAACCTTTTTTACCTTTCGATTATTTATAACTATTAATTCTCATCGATTATCGATTCTAATCGATAAAAATTTAATTCGATTATTTATAACTAATAATTCTATTATTAACTTAATTCTCGAATGGTTGAAATTGATTCTGCTTTCACTAGTAAAGATGTTGATTTGGTAAATTACTAAATTTCTTTATTTGCGACAATGCCATTACATTTTTATTTTATTCTTGAAAACTTTTGTTTATTTATTATTATAGAAACATATTTATTGAATAATTGAAATCACATTTAAATAATTTGTAACAAAATAAAAAAACAAAAGTTCAGAATAAAAACACATCTATTCTTAAATTTAAGTATAACGTGAGTTATGCATATTTTGGACGTTTTTATCTTTGAATAAAAACTAGGACGTTTAAACTTTAAAAATTTAAAAATATTTTTACATAATCTTGTAGTTCTCGAAAAGCTGCATAAAACTTAGGGTAGATCCGGGGCGAGATGTTGACAACTTTTGTTGCTTATTAATTTATTTTCAAATATAGTAAAATTAATTTTACATGAACATGTTAGAGTAGTTCTTTCTGGTATTAAATATAATAAACTTAGTTTACCATTAAAAAAAAAAAGTGCTATATTTTACTTACGAATTTAGTTATAAAATCACAACTAAAAATTCGAAATACCATGTAGTGCATGTTAATTCGGATTACATTAAAAACGTATGGAAAAAATCAAAGTTGCAAAAATTAAACGTTTTTTTTTATAGTAAAAAAATAATCACATAAACGTGCATACATTTAATGATTGGATTTTTGTTTTTAATACCAAACCATTCATTTAGTTTCGGATTTTTATTCAACAGATAACTGCATACATTTGCATTCAAAAACATATAAATTCAAATTCAAATTATATCTCATAAATAAAAATAAACAAGTACCACAAAACCATTTACCACATCTACTTTTACAATTCATCCATTGATAATTGAAAGGGTCTTTCTGATGAATTTTGCCTCATTCACAAGCCGTGGGTTGAACAATTTGTGTCGTTTGCCATGAAGGAATAGTATCTAATTATTGTCAATAGCTTCATTTGTATTTGCGACTACAGTGACAATTTCATTTGTTTCATTAATTTTATTTTTTTATTTTATTTGCCTTATGCTTACTTGTCTTTGCTACTTGCTTGCGTTTTTCATTTTCTTCTTTGCGTTTGTCAGAAGCATGTTTTCGTTTTTCAGCAGCTTGTTTATGTTTTTCAGCGTCTTCTTTACACTTGTCAGCAGTTTCTTTTTGTTTTTTTGCTCTTTCGTTTGCTCGTTGAGCTATTTTATCTAATTTCTTTTTATATTCATCTTTTTTAGCTTTCAATTGAGCAACAAAATCATCTGAATTAGGCAATTACCTTTAACTTGTGTACCTTTTGTTTTTTTCTGGAATAAGCTTTTTTCTCTTTGCAATATTTTAACTAGTATATTTTCCATATTTGTTGAAGTTAGATTAGATTTTACTACATTATTTATTTCTCGCATTAAATTAATACGCTTCAGAAGTGGGTGTGATGTTTTCGGTGTTGTAGTTAATGCTGATGTTGATGCATTATTTGTATTGTTTTCATTTACTGGCTTAAATGCTTCATTATGACAATCAGCTATTTTGTTGCGATTTTATGAAAACAAACCACATTTCTCAAAGCCAGCTCTTGCATTTTCACGTATGAATCCATATTCAACTACATATGCCATAAGATGGGAAAACTTTTCTTTATGAATATCGGTACTGATCTTTAAGTAAGAATTAAGCACCTCTCGCCATTTAGATTTCACTGTTCTAAATACCCCAACATCAAGTGGCACTATAAACACTGCATACCTGACTCGTCACAATTGAATATATGCTTAGGCTTTGTATGAAAACCGTATTTGTTGAAAATTTCATTTAATTCTTTATACCAAGCATCAAAAATTAGTTTACTAGATGCTCCAGCATGTTTAGATTCTGTATTGTTAGGCATTCTAAATGCAAGTTTATTTTTTTGTCTATTCATAAAGCCATAATACCAATTGTCAGTCACTTCACCATTTTTGAACAGATGCGTTTGATCCGATTCAATAAGATAGTTATTAACAAATTGTTTAACTTCGAATCGAGAAGCACCAAAACCAATTTTTGCAAGATGAGTAAAATATTCAACAAGCAAAAGTTCTTCAGCCATAGTTAAAACAGTTCCTTTACCAACCTTGCCAGTATGCTTTCCATTTGCACGATTATTATTTTTGAGCTGCTTGTTTTTGGTTTAATGTTCTTTTTGCCAATTCTTCTAAAGGCGCCTCCATTTTTTTCTTTTGTCATATTTTTAATTTGAATATCACTCTTTAACACCCCGTCTAATTTTAGTTCCATTATGTACTTTAATATTAATCTATGCGTATAGATACTTAATATAAAGAAAATTCGAATTTACCAAAGTTTTAGCTTAACGGTTAGAATATAATAAAAAAATTGAAATTTTTGTTTGAACGAGCAATAAGAAAATAGAAAAAAAACATTTAGAGCTCGCTTATTTAAAGTTTGCAAGATTTACAAGTTTTATTACAATTATACTTAAAATGCATTTTATTTCAAAAATAATATATATTTTTTAGATTATGAAAGACTATTGTTTCCCTAATATCAAAGAAAAAAAAATTTTTTTATTTATATATATATATATATATATATATATATATATATATATATATATATATAACGTTATATATATATATAACGTTATATATATATAATATATATATATATAACGTTAAAAATAGATTTTTTAGTACGCATCCGAAATACGCATAAGTTGCGTCATCTCTCAAAGAAACAGTGCAGGAAATAATTAGAACTCAGCAGCCGTATTCTCATCTCTTTGTTCATCTCATCTCTATCGGAGCGTAAATAGAAAATTTCTGTTTAACTACATTAATAAAAAAAGTTCTTAAGAAATACAATTTTTTTAAAATGTTTTATTTTAGTAAGTTTAATTTTTAAAAAATTTAAATAAGGTTTTCGTCATTTCTTTACTTAGAAATATTGTAATGAATTTTCAGACTAAAGCTCCATTAAGCATAACGGAGAGATGAGAATACGGCTGCAGAAAAAAACACTTTTTTTAAAACTTCAGGTTTTCAAGGTAATTTTAGAAAAATTTTACATCTAATGTAACAATTCTTTAATGTTATAAAAATTTTAATTTAACTTAATGTTATCAAAATTTCTTAAATCAAAAATCATTCCTAGAATCCAGTTGATATTATCATTTGAAACCGAGCACTAATTAGCTGTTTTGAAGGTTACTTACTTTAAACAAAGACAGATTCTTTGTAAATGTCGAAAAACTTATTTTACAAGTATAAAAAAAAAAAAATTGATAAGGCCGCTACGTAAAAAACAAATGCTTGAAAAGAGTTAAGATAATTCACAAATCCATTTATTAAGTTTACATTTTTACAAAAAATAACACATCAACAAATTTGCATTTTAGAAGATAAATTCACCACTCCATTTTGACAGATCCAGTTGAATCTAGTAAAACAAACATTAAAGAAAATACAAACAAATTAATCTAAGTTTGCATTACTTAAAAAGTTAAAAACATTTAATCGCCTAAGTTCAGTCATCAAATAACTTCGGTCATTTAAGAAAAAAATATTAAAAAAGCATGACTCAAATTTTTCAAACTTTTTTTTTCAAATAAAATTTATAATTAGTTCGTAAATATGAATCTATAAAAAAAATGTTTATATGCAATCTGCTGAAATAATTCTTTAGAAAAATAATAATTTGGAAAAATTGCATACTATTAAAATCAAAAATAAGCAAATTATTAAAATAAATGATCAAATTTAATCTTAGTATTATTAAAAATCACTAAATTAATTAGATTTACAAAAAAAAATTATTTATTTTCGGAAATTAACTACTTTTTTTATAAAAATTAGTGAAATTTTGAAACACTCAGTCATGCACAGGTAAAACAACTATGAAAATTAATATAGTGAAATATCGATAAGTATTGCAAATGTAAAATTTACCTGTAACTTTCCAGTAAACTTTAACATTTTTATAGATACACGATATGTATCCATTATAAAAATGTCATATTTTATTTGAGTAAAAAATTTGTACATAATTTCAAAACTAACTGACGGTTTTTGAGTTCTAAAAAAATATCAAGCTTGTGACATTTTTAGGAGATAAAATTACAGCTCAACAACAAATATGGATGCGTTGCGAATCCTGTAACGATCAAGGTTTAAAAAAACGTAGCAGTTTTTTTAAACCTAACAAAATTAGTTTTCATTATCTGTGACCTAAAGTTTGTGATGCCTTAAGCAGCCAAACTTAAGAGATGGTATTGAAAATTCGGTCAAATTAGATGCTTTTATTTTAAATTAAATATTGAGCACTACTTTTTATTTCATTTTTTTATTTTTACAATATCAATTATCAATATAACTTTCTGTATGTTTCAGGAAAAAAAATTGAAATTTTTTTATTTATGTGTGATGAGTAAATGTTCAAACCTTTAGTGACCGAAGTTAAGCGATTTCACGGTGTATAAAAATAAACAATAAAATATGCTAAAAATAACCTTTTGTTTATTGTATTTTTAATCGTTTTGTAAAGATTATTTTATAAAAATAGTTTAATATAATATAGACAATTCAATAACTTTTTTGTTATAATTTTTTTAACTTAATTAAAAAATAACTCAAATTTTAGGTTAACACAAAGCTTGTCAACTTACATTGAATAATCAAATAAACAGGTTTATAAATAAAAAGGTTACATCTATTGTTCGCTGCTTTAGGGTTAATCTAGTTTAAATAAAGATTGGTATAATCAGGAAATAATTGGATTTACTTTGTTCACATTGGATCACACATCTACTTTGTCCTTGGCAGCAATATACATTTTGTCATTCATTTGGTTGATTAATTAGGTTTATTGTATATATTATCAGGGCCTTTTCTAAGAAAAAAATTTGGGTAGGTACTTCCCTTTTCCCTGTGCCATCACCTACCGTAAGGAAATTTGCTGTATCTAAACATTTTTTTACAAAAAAAAAAAAAAAAAAAATACTACTACTTATACAGGGGCTATTCTAGAAAAAAATTTTTGGCAGTGGTACCCCCCCACCCGCCCCAGAGGAATTTTGTGAAATTTACGGTGAGTGTTTTTTTTTTGCGGGGAAAAAAAAACACTCACCGTAAAAAATAAAAAAAGTCTTCAAATTTTAATTTGGGCAACCACCAAATATGGTCGATGTTCTCAAAAACAGCCTAGAATAGCTTCTGTTGTTTAAAAAGGCCTTTTTTTATGTACTCCTTCTTGTTATCTTGTGCCACTAAAGACTTTTTTTAACCCGGGGGGACACCCTCCTCAGTTACTGGAATTACCTGAATTTATATCAATTTAATTTTTAATTATAAAATTAGTTTTCATTATTTGTGACGCTAAGTTTGTGATACCTTATTATCATTTATATAGCGGCCAAACTTATGAGATGGTATTGAAAATTCAGTCAAAGTAGATGTTTTTATTTTAAATTAAATATTGAGCACTAGTTTTTATTTTCACAATATTAATTATCGATATAATTTTCTGAATGTTTCAGGAAAAAAAATTTAATTTTTCTCCTTATGCGTGTTAAATAAATGTTCAAAGCTTAAGTGACCGGAAGGTGATTTTAAAACTTTTTTTTTATTTATGTTTTACGCTTTAAATGTTTTGCCAATTTTAGAAAATAAAAAATAAGCTTTAATCTTATTATTCTTGGCTCATGTTGTTTAATTGTCTAGTTTAATCAAAAAAAAAATTCAAGTATAAAATATACAAAAAACTTGATTACTGTTAAAACCTCCTACCATTTTTTAATAACCTTTTTTATTCATTACATTTAAAAGTGTAAAAACACTTTAAGCAATATTTTATTTAAATTTTTATTTAAACCTAACATTAATATGAACATTTATTGCTATAGAGGCAAATAAAATGAATTCAAATTTCAAAGAGAAAAATAGATCAGATATAAACATTTAGATTTTTTTTTATTTTATATTACAATAAGATTAGAACATTTTTTTGCAGAGAATTTTATGTGAATTTTATGAAAACTTTTTTGTATAGATCCAAATGTTAGTTTTGTACTTAAAAAATGATAAACAATGATAAACAAAGGCAATGATTTTATTTCATGAGACAAAAATAAAATAAAAACTATAAATATAAAAACATACTTCTCTAAAATTTTTCCTTGATCAAGGAATCAGCCAGAACTGTCATTTTGCATTTGTCATTTGGTTTTTCTTCTCCAAATGGAACATCTTGAGTTATGACCACTAGAGTTCCTTCAACTTCAAAACCATCACCCTCAGTAACATATACTCTAATTTTATCAAAATCTTCAGCCCACTGCTTGGCATATTTAGGAAGTTTTGATTTTAAAACAGCAACACGTGATTGATTTGACTCATTGAGTTTAGCCATCAAATTAACAGTGTATTTCTTTAAAGCTTTCTTGAAATCATTTAAAGAAGTTATTGTAACTGGCTCCTCCAATCGAAAAGCTCTGAGCAGTGTGTTTACAACCGGCTTATATTCTGTAGTAGCTTCTCCTTCATCATCTTCTCCTTCAGCAGATTTATTTCCGCCAAATAAAGAATCATCAAATTTTTGATCTGCAAGCTCCTCGTATTTTCCATCAACAACCCAAACAAAGCCTTCATCTTCAAGCTTATGAGGATAAGCATCAGAAAATACCTCTTTACCTAATAAAATAAAAATGCTTCATACAGAAAAGAAAACTAAGAAATAATATTTGACAAAAATATACATTTAATATTATAGCGTAAATATATTTAACTTAAACTAATGTTTTGCTTGATTTTATTTAATTAAAGATTTTATAAAGAAAACTTAGAAGTTGCACAAGTGCATCTATTTGTAAATTAAAGTTTAATGCTGAAAGACTCAAAAGAGTTTAACTAAAGAGTTTTAAGTTGTACAAAAACTCAGGTGTGAATAAGCTTATTACTAACAGCATCCAACTCTGGGATAGGGAATTGTGGGATACCTATTATTTAGATTTATAAAGAATATTTAATTGCAAGCAATGTCTGACTGCACAATAATCTTGTAGTCATTGCTAGTAATAAAAGAAAGTTTCTACAAGAGAAAAAAAAAAATTGAAATCTAATGGGATAACTAGAGTATAATAATTACAAGTCTTTTTTAAATCAATTCAACTTGTAAATAGTGATTGTAAAATGCTTGGTTGTTTATTTGCATTAACATTTTTGTAACTAGTAGATAATTTATTTCAGAGTTACCAGATATCTTAGCTCTAGGAGAAAGAATACTATGTTGAACATAAAAGAAATAGGATTTTCACTACATTCTTCTTCATAAAACCCTGACCCTGACATCATCAAAATAGATCAGATTTTTTAACTAATTTAGAAAAAATGTTTTACAGGTTATACTTCTTTAATATTTAATAATATTAACTTTGTTATAACTATTTTAAAATAAATCAAGTAATTTAATTTTAAAAACTTTATTTTATAAAAATTTAACAAGGTATTAATTTCTAATTAGCTCATAAGATACAACTCCTTTAACAAATTTAACAACTGTTTGATGTTTTAAATCATATTTGTATCATACATATATATGTTACATATATATATATATATATATATAACAGATATATGTATTGTTTAATAAATAACTGGGAAAACCGGAACTTTGTTGTAAATATAATCGTCACAACATTGAATAAAAACTCTCAAAAAAGAAATATGCTAGCCAAATTTCTGTAAAAAATAAGATAAAAAGATTTTTATACTGTCAGCATTACAACCATGGAAGCTTTATATTTAGAACTTTTATGCATTGAATAAAAATATCTGTTAAGAAATGTTTATAAATCAAAAATCGTCTTATAGTTACAAATCGCTAGCCATCAAATTTAATAATAAAAATAAAAAAAAAGGTTTTCTTTATGTTAAATGGAATATATACATTTACAAACCTGTGAAAATGCAGTTGTAAATATACATGATTCCTCAGATAAAGTAGGATAAGCTTGGACACAAATCGGTAATTGAGCAAGCACTGACAGAAGCCGAAGTTTAAGAGACCCCGACCGTTGAGAACACCAATATTATTCGTTTTTAACGTCATATTAGCTCATAAATTATACGCGATTGAGTTAAATAATTATTCCCTTAATCAAATTTATCAAAAAATCTCACCATTCATATCACTAATTTATTCTAATTATACGGAAATGAGATAAACTGTCATTATAGAAGAAAAAATTTGTAAACAAAAATGTAAACAAATCGATCTGCCATGTCAACAGAAAGCAAAATTAGTGTAAGGGATCGTCCATAAAATTACGTCACGTTTTAGGAAAGAAGGGGGAGAGGAGGTTAGTGAATATTAACTACTAACAAAATGAATATTAATTACTACCAAGCTTACTATAAATATTATATACTGACAATATTTACAAATATTTATTCTGAATTATTTTACAAATAATTAATTTACAAATATTTATTCTGATTATTCTTTTACATTAACAATAGTATTTTTTTCCAACTATAATTTTAGTAATGATTAAGCGAATAAAAAAAAATTGGGGACATGATCATAATCAACAGATACTTAACAAAACTGTGGAAAAAAATACTCTAATTTTACAAAAGGAACTTTTTAAACTGAAATAAAAAAAAAACTTTTTTTTTTAATTTAAGTTTAAAAAGCGTGCATTACCAGATGCAGTTAATCCAAACACTTATGTGTTTATATTTATGTCAAATAAAAATGCCTTGCAATAAATTGCAATGATGAGAAAAAGTCTGTTAAAAACGGCTGTTTAATCCTTTTAAATTTTTCTCAAACTATTTCAAAGTAGAAATTGAAATATATTTGTCAAAGAATAACAAACAATAACAAATTTTTGTGCATAATCTAGAATCTTTTATACATAAACAATCTAATAGCAAAACACTAGAGTAAAACTTTGTATTTGTTATCTAACATAACAATAACTCTCTCTCTGCGTTTTTACGAATAGAAGCGAATTTTAGGTTGTCTTCTTTTGTAAATGTTGGAATTTTTAGTTTCCACAACAAAAGTCAACACTTGCACCAATGTTAAAACATCTGCTGAGAAAATATCTGATAAGTGGCAAAGAAAATTCTGCAATAAAATTGAGCATTTATTTTCTTTATTAGCAGGCTCAAAAAACTCAAGCAAACAATATGGAATTTTAAAATTCTGTAACCCTGTGTAAAAATTTTGATTTGAATCTTTATCAAACCATTTAATATTTCTAATACATAGGTCAATTAATTATTTTTTAACTGAACAATATTTTCGGCAGTCACAGCAGAGCGGACGCGGACGTCCATAGAACGTCTATACGATATCTTTTCGACGTCATAAAAGTCCGTAGGATGTCTTTAAGACGTTTAGCAGTTGTTTTATGCCCGTTGGGATTTAATTAAACAGTCACCTACCTTCCATAATTTGTTGAGGCGCATTAAAGTACATTCTTTTTGAAAGTTTTGTGAAATTGTATTTATTGAAAATATATAAAGCAAATCGTTTTCAAATGCATTGCCTAAACATTTTTAATCAGCTAAAAAATTTTGTTACATTAATTAATCGTTTTGTTAATAAAGAAATATTTTGTGACGTAAGTACTCCCATCTGTCAGCAAGTGATAGTCAATATTTTTTATATTGATTTTTATTTTTATAGTCTTTGTTTCTTTTCTGTCTTAGATTCAGAATTGATTTAGTCTTTTCTAAGCAAAAAAATAAATAAAAAAATGTTAAACATTTAGCTTTTAGATTTAAAGAGTTTTAGAAATACTTAAAAACCCCTTTATTAGGGATCGCCTAAAACGCCGAATTCTAAAACGCCGAATTGCCGAAATGCCGAAAAACCATCTTAGAGTAGCAGAATAAAAAACGGAATGAGAGCAATGAATTACCGGTAGTCAACCCCCGCGTTATTAATGTTTAAATTATTGTTTTAAATTAAAAAAAATTCAAAACATGTAAAATTAAAAAATAAAATGCAGCAGTAAATTTTGTTTAAAAAGACAGAACCAAAAGCCAAATTTGGCTTTGGCTTTTGTCCTTTTAAACTTTGCATTTACAAATGCGCAATAAAAAATCCGGAGGATATTTAACTTTTCGTTGTCTTTTTTGACGGTTACCGAATTCTATTATTACGCCATTTTTTTCGGCATTTCGGCTTTTCGGCGTTTTAGAATTCGGCGTTTTAGGCGATCCCTATTTATTATTTTAAACCTAAAACAAAATGGTTGCTGCAAAATTTTCGCTATAAAATGGTTGCTAAAAATACGAGTATATTAGGATAATTTCTGCTTATCCGTTTTTCTTTACGCTCCTTTGATAAAATTTTACCATCATTAGTTGCAAACTTTTCATTTTGTAAACAAATCAAAAAGTTTTGTCTATTATTTTCAAAATAATATAGTTAGCCATCTGTTGTATAAATCAATCTACTCTCATTTACATTTAATCTACACAAATATTTTGTAAACAAAGAACAGTATACATTAGTTATGTTATTATTTTTTTAATTTGTTATTTAGGTGCCCCAAGAAGTCCTTACGGTCTTGTCATCGAGCACCGTGGAAGTGCATTTAACCAGAAAGTTCACGCCTCCTTCCTTACCGTGACGCGAAATATGTCCAAAGTTCCTTTTGAATCTGATCTGCTGCTTATAAAACAAGCGCTTTAACCACTGCGCCATGGTTGCACCACGTTATCAAAGAGTTTGAAACGGAATCACGCACGAAACAGAAAAATGCAATTTTTTGCTACTAGATAAATAAACTTTGAATTCTTATTAATATTTATTTTATTACTATTGTAAATAGATTACAATATTATTCAAATTTATAGATTACAATATATTCCTGACAACCTTACATCTAAAATGGCTCTATTTGCTAATGACTCAACTTTAAACTCATGTCTTGACAAAAAGTTTTCTCTTTTTGATTGCTTAAAAAATACAACCGATCTTGAATCTGGTCTCACTTCTGTAACAGATTGGGGCTTGCAGTGGGTTGTGAATTTTAACTCCAACAAAACTCAGTTATTTACTGTAAACAACTACTACAATATATTTTAATAATGATGAATAGCAACTCTTTCACTGAGTTCTTTTCTTTACGTCTTCTTAGGTTATCGTTCACCTCTGATGGAAATCATATATACAATTGATTGCAAAATTAGCATTTGCTTCTCTTTATCTTGCTCGCAATTATCTTACTCCTGACTCCAATCTCTACCTCTACAAATCTCTTATTTGTCCCTGTATGGAATACTGTTGTCAATTTTTGGGCTGTTTATAATGATGCTCTTTCTCTTTTCGACAAGGTCCAAAACCGCATTGTAAACGTATCTGCCAAGCTTGAACTTCTAATAAATTTATGCTTTATAATAATTTAATGCACCACTTGTAAAATTAATTCATTGACATTTTTTTTTTCTTCATCAAACGTAATTAGAATATAATTAAAAAAATATGATAAACTCTGTTGAAAATAAAGGTGAGGAAAAATATACTTAAAAACACGTTAAACTTATATAGTTATTTTTTTTTTGCATAAGATCAAAAGGTTTTCAAAAATATTTTTAAAGAAACTTCTGGAGAATCTTTAGCAGTGTCTATGATAAGGGTTATTCCTCCTCTCTTGCATAGTTCATATTTTGTTACCTCACCTAAAGACAAAGCTGAATTGTTTGCTAAGAACCTTTCATCAATCTCATCTCTTGATTCCACTAATCCCATCCTACCTTATATATCCGTCAAACAAGTTGATCCATTGCTTGACATTTGTATTACTCCAGCTTATATATCTAAAGTGATTTCCTGCTTAGACTCTTCTTCAACTTGTGGTCCGGACAATATACATGTAATAGTCTTGCAAAAGTGTTTTCCAAAGCTGTCGTCTATACTTTTAACATTATTTATTATTTATCTTCAACACTATTTAAGTGTTTATCTGAACCTTGTTTGATGCCACTTTCCAGCCTGCTTGAAAGCGGTATCTGTTATACCTATTTTCAAAAATTCTAGAGGGCAATCTGACTTGTCTAACTACCGTGTCATTACTCTTCTTGCAATCATAAGCAAGATTTTTGAGTCTTTAATTAATAAACACTTAACCTCTCATCTTAAATCTAATAATTTACTTTTTGATTATCAATATGGGTTTCGGTCTTATTGTTCTACTGCTTATTTTTGATGGTAATAACATAGGTTAAATAATATAGGTTTTATCTTGCATTTATAGACGTGGAGAGGTTAGGGCTATTGTTCTCGAAATATCTAAAACTTTTGATAAATTTTGGCATGCTGGTTTTTTCCTTATGCTCTCCTCTTACGGTGTATTAGGTAACATCTTTAAGATTAATTAATTTTTCCTAACCAATCGTAGTATAAAAGTTGTTCTCAATGGACAGCATTCTTCTTTATTTCCTGTAACTTCAGGGGTTCCTCAAGGTTCTATGCTTGAACCTATACTCTTTTTAATTTACATTAACGATCTTCCAGAAATTCTTATATCTAAGGTGGCATTGTTCGCTGATGATGCTACCATTTATTCCAGTCTTGATAATAAGCCAATACTCTCTGGTTGGTTGGAGGGGACATTTGAGCTTGAAAAAAATCTCACTTCTGCTACAGCATGGAGCACTCAGCGGGTGGTGAACTTTAACTCAGATAAAACTCAATTTTTTTTCAGCTAATTATTATCGCAATAATCTAGATCTTCCTATATTTATGAACGGTAATGCACTCGAAGAGTCATCTACCCTTCTTCTTCTTCCAGGATTAACTCTTAATTTTGATCTTTCTTGAAAACCATGTATAAAATTCATAGCAAAATTAGTATCTGCTAATGTTGCATCTCTTTATCATACTTGCTGCTTTTTTACTCCGGATTCTATTCTTTATCATTATAAATCTCAAATCCGTCTTTGTATCGAATACTTGAGCCAACTTTTTAATGATTATTAATAAATAATA